AACCCTGACCCAAAACCACAAGCAGTTCCTACAGAGGGGGAGAACGTCACAGTGGGCTGGGAAGCTGGTGGCGGCCACCTGAGGTGGGAGCCCTCAAAAGGAGGAGGTCTTGGAGATCAGAACCAGAGGTCACCGTCACTCTCCCAGGCTCTGAGTGGCTACAATGGGAAAAATGCAGACTGGAAACCCAAAATGGCTCTGGGTTCCACAGGAAGGGCTCTGGAGCCGTGACAAGAGCCCCCATCTGAGCAGAGGCAACCATGAAGCCACATCCAAGCCAGCGACAGACTAGGATGGCTTTCCCGTGTGTGGAGCATGCTCCCAGATTGCTGGGTGGCCTTGTGTGCACCGCCCTCCTGACTGTGCGGTCTCTGTCCTCCACATGGGACAAGGAGCAAGCACTGAAGGACAGAGGCCGCCATCCCAGGCACCATCGTGGGCAGGGAGGCCCAGGGCGGTGTAGGGAGAGATGATTCACACCAGAAGAAATGGGATGGCCCATAGCAGGGCTGTCTGGGCCTACATGATTCTGATTTACTGGAGCGTGGCCATTTCTTCCCTTGGAGAGCACCCTGCTGTCCCCAAGGGAAGGCAGTGGCGGTAAGTGCAGGGCCTGTGTTGGTGGGACAAGTGCATCCTAGGAATGATCAGGCACAGCCATATGTCCCCAGGCCACAGAACCAACACCAAGAGAGATGTGGCGCTGGGCACCCGTCAGCATGCGATGACTCCAGCTGACAATAAATTTGAGCCATTAAACAGGGAATGGTCTGATTGGGAAGCTGGATTCTTGCCTTGAGCTGCTGACCATTGTGCTAATTGAGATACTGACACCATCAATCTCTTCAAAAAGAGACCCTTTGACTTCTCAGACAAGGTGAGGCTGTGTGTTGATCTATGGTTCTGTGAGACCCTTTAGCCCAAGGAGGCCCAGTGTGGATGTTGAGCAAATGAATCATTGGTTGGATAGCTGAGGTGACCAGCAGGGATGCCTCCCAGTTCCGATGTCTCGTCTGTCATGGTGAAGCCACATAACTCCCTGCTTCCTCCCACTCACCAAGCAGCAGCTATGTTGGACCCATGGTCTTTGCTCTACAGAAGCCCACAGGGCCCCATTCAGCTTTGGGACGTGGTTGAAATTTCAGTATTGCCTTCCTGAGCACTCGTAGTATGGCCAGGTTGACAGGCAGGCTGGTTCTGAGTATCCCATGGGCCCACCTGGGAGAGTGGCAGCTCCAAAGGGCAGAAAACTGCCCACACCCAGCAGGCGAGCTGCAGATACCCAGAGGAACTGGGGCATAAGCCATGGATTTTGGTTGTTGGTAAAGGGCAGTCCCTGCAGGCCAGCATCCAGGAAAGCTCCAGCTGCAGACCTCACAGAGAACACGTCCCTTGCTGCAAACCTGGAGATCCTCTTCCCCGGATCACAGTGGCCCCCAAAAGTCCAGAGGGTGGGCAGGGATGCTGGGGACACACTCGCTCCCTAGCACTTTCCACACTAAACCCCTGTGGGTCCTGCAGTGCCAGGAACTCCTGCATGGGGGACTGGCATAGAAGGAGCTCAAAGCCTCAAGCAGTTTATTAGCAAGGGGAGGCCTTGGGATCTGCAGGGGACCCTGCTGACAAATTCTAACCCCAGGGGCCGGAGTGCAGCCTAGCTGTCTCTGCTTTCACAAGCTCCTTCAGAGACTCTGATGTGCACCCTAGTTGAGAACCACTGAACCAAAGAAATGAGATAGCACACATTTCCAGCTTCCTCCTTGTGTGACATTCAGACCAGAAGCCACTGGAATAAAACAAAACCCTTTTTTCTTGCCTGTCTGTCTCTTGGGAGCCAGCCGTCCCACAGAAGAGCAGTGTGGCCTCATAGCCCACCGGGCCTCTGTCCTCCAGGGCTGTGGTCCTGGCCAGAATTCTGCCCTGAAAGGAAGGCTCCCTGGGCCTCCTGTCAGTGCCTGGAGGGTCCATCCCTGGCCAGGGCCCAGTGGGGACAGAGACCTACAAACCCCGAGTGCCCTTTCATTCCTCCCTCCTGCTTCTTTGGTCCCTCCTGCTTTGGTCTCCTTTCCTTTGAGTTGCAGCCCTGTCCCTCTGCAGAGGGGACAAGGAAGACAGGCCTCAGGAGCAGCCCAGGACATCCCCCGGCGGGGCCACGACGCGCTTCACTAAGCAGCCATCACCTTTGGCCACAGGCCCAGGGGGTTGCCATGGCAGCACGGGTAGCTTGGTCTTGGAAGAATGTTGTGCCCTCATTCTGGCTGCCTGGGATCCCTGGCCCCAGCCTGTTTCCCGGATCCTTTCAATAGGCTTATGGCACCCTGGCGCCAGCCCACAGTGCCTATTCTTTAGTTTAGAGTAGCTTTGTCTTGGTCAGCATAAAGCAGCTTGACTTAGCCACAAAGGAATAGATCAAGCCATTCCTCTCCTCACAACTCTCTAGCCTCTCATTGCTCTCAAGGTCAGCATACTTAGCATGGCTACCAGGACCTCTGAGATATGGTCTCAGTTTCCTCAGTGACCTCAGCTCCCTTGCAGTCCCTCCAGACTCCCTTACAGTCGCTGCTCACTGTTCCTAACAAATGCCAAGCCTCTCCTGCCACAGGCCCTTTGCACGTGCTGCTGTCCACTGTGTCCCCTGATCTCTGGACCTCCAAGCCCCCACCTGGCACCTAGCATGGCAGCACTGCACCCTACCTCTGCATTTGTACCCAGCTTCGTCTTTCCTCACAGCACCTTTCAACCCTTTGTTTTTTGTTGGTGTAGGGCCTGTCTTTCCCACTAGACTCCTCTGGAGACGGGGCAGCCACATCTAGTGAGTGGATGCCTAGACCTGGCCTCCAAGCCTGGTGCTGCTAGCTGGCAGCTTTGTGGCACTGCACACGCCACCTGGTCACCATGAGCCAAGGTGAACCTGTCCACGAGGCAGAGGGGACAATGCCTGCCAGGGACAGGTGAGGAGGACAGGGCGGTGCACAGCGCCTGGGACCGGGTGACACACACACATCTCGTGTCTGTTCTCCTGTCCACTTTGTTCAGGGCCCAAGCATCCACACACTTCTGGGGCCCCTCCCAGCCTGTCTGTCATCTGCCAGGACCCTGCAGGGTGCCCATGGAAAGGACGGAAATGGTGCCAGCCAGGGGCAAGGTGGGAACTTCCGTCCCACAAACGTGAAGACACTGCAAAGCCACACGGGAGCCCATCTCTCCGCCCTCCCAAGGCTGCGCGCAGCCGCCCTCCCCTCCCTCGCAGTCCTCAGGGGAGCCCTTGCTGAGGGCTCCAGAAGTGTGAAAAGACTCACAGCTCTGCAGGGTTTTGCTTTCTTGAGATTTTTTAAGCAGGCTGGAAGACGGATGGACCCATTCCTGAAATTTTTGGGAAAGGAAATATTCTGTCCACTTAAAGCCCGGCTGTTATTAGTCTGATGCTAAAACACCGCCCTGAGTGCATCTTGTGTGGCATTTTCAGAGGACACAGGACAGGGCCAGCAGGTCTGTGTGGCATGGAGCATAGCCATACGGAGACTGAGCAAAGCCCTGGGGGTCCAGAACAGAAAGACCCCCATCCCTGCCCTCTGGGCTTCCCGTGCCCGTGACTTGGGGGACCGTTGGTGGGCTGCACAGGCTGCTTCCCCAGCTCGATGCCACTGTGTCCCGAGCTGGGAGGTCTGGGGGGTCTGAGTCCCTCTGCTCAGTTCACACTTGTCACTCACCACAGGAAGACGGAGGAACTGGTCCCGGAAGCTACAGGACAGAAGAGCCAGAAGCTAAGAAGAGGACCTACCCAGTACCCAGTTTGTAGAAGGCTCTCAGAAAAAGATAGTTGTTTGTCATTCATTTGCTACGGAAATAGAGAACTTAAATCTCCAAAAGCTAAGGACCCCTTCCCTGCCCAGCACCTCTCAGACCTGTGTGGAGTATGAGGTCCAGGTCCAGGCTTCTTCGGTTAAAATAACCGGAAAGTAACCAGGTCGCTGGGACCTCAGAGGAGGACGCTCCTGAGGTGGTATTTTGTGGTTGTTGTTTTCTTCCTGCATTTAAAGGACCATCAAATTAAGAAAAAGAACATGTAGTACCGCTCCAAAGGGCCAGTGAGGAAGAGAAGTCAGCGCGGGAGGGCCCCGCCCACAGAGAGAACACGGTGTCCGCAGTGAAATGCACTGTCCCGCTCGGTAGTGAGCTCCCTGTCGTGGGAAGCATTTGAGCAGAAAGCAGATGACCGCCTGCCAGAGAGGTAGTGAAGGACTTTTCTAACCCAAGCAACTGTATAATTTGATCAGACAAACGGGGACCTGACTCCAGTTCCCCAGAGTTAGCCGATTGGCTCGGGCAGGTTAACCTCCGAGAAGTGGAGCATAGAAGACTCGTTCGGCCCTCCACGGAGTGAAAAGCAGGTGCCACAGCCTCTCAGATGTCCTCGGTGCGCTAAGAAATGCAAACTCCACAGAGTATGGGGACAAACAGACCTTGCACACAGGGTGAGCCCATGGCCACGGTGGGTCACGGTACCCGCCAGCAACCTCGTGGGGCGACACAGGATGCAGCACCAGACGGTCACCGCTGAGTGCCCAGGCCTCACCCCACCCTGTGGCCAAGGCTGGGTGCCCAGCTGCATATCCACAAGGCCTGGGCTGGTCAGCCTTGAGAACCACAGCTTAGAAGGGGACAGGAGGCTGGAAACTCCTGGTTCCCCCCGGGGCGTAGGTGCTTGGGCCATGCTGTCTTGTTTGCAAAGAACTCTTTCCCAGAGGAGGGCCACGCGGTGTTGGACGAGAGGAGAGGAGTGGATGCCGTCGGGGTTAGGAGAGGAGGGAGAATTCCCTTCCTGGGACAGCTGCCAGGCAGTGGGGGGCGGAGCGGGGGTTGCTCCGGAAGCCGAGCAGATGCTGCCATCCAGAGGCCCCCGCAGGGACCCCGCTTCATCCTGGGGTGCGCTTCACCTCTGCCCTCTGCCATACAACCCCACTTTCCCTTTTGGTAACGCGGGCATCTTCTTTCCGCAGGAATCTCAGAAAACACGGCCGTGCCCGGGGTACCAGACCCACAGGAGGAGGAGCTCCGACTGCAGCTGGAGGAAGAAAAAAAGAGGTGCCCTTCTTCTCCGCCGCTCACGGCCCAACCCTGACTCCAGGGCAACCTGGGGCCCCCAGGGCTAGAACTCCAAGGAAGTGGGTTCCGCAACCCGGCCTGCAGGGCCTGGGCAGGGCCCGGGATGAGGAGCAGCCGGCCTGTGTGCTGCTGCCACCTAGAGGAGGCGAGGAGCATGACCCCAGCTTTACCCCCTTCCTCCGCCTCAGCCCTGGGGACAGCCGACCTGCGCACAGCCACTTAGGGGCCCAGAGCGCGATTTTACTGGGGTGAGGAGCGAGCGGCAGCCATGTGGCTTTGCAGAATCCCGGCAGCCCGGGCTAGCGCTTAGCTCCTTTAGGCATGCGTGCGCTCGGCACACTCGCTAGCTCTGCACCGTGGAGCGGTGTTCTGGGGACACCACACAGGTCACCCCCTCTGCATCCGGCTGCTGATGGACAGCGTCATGGAAACACCCTCCCCGCCCCCACCCCAGCCCCATGTTGCCCAGGGGTTCAGGGTCAGACTGACCCTGTCACGAAACAAAAACACCGTATTGTAACTTTCGGTCCTCATCATGAAGATGAACCAACGAAATAGGCAGTTAAGAGTGGTTCTAGAGCCAGTACACCCCGGTTCAGATCGCGGCCGCTCTGTGCCCAGTACAGGACCCGGGCCCTCCGCATCTCCAGGTCAGAATCCATACTAGGGAGATGGGAAGGGTTGCAGCCTCTTTACTGGCAAGAGGAATAAGTGAGTGTGCATTGCGTGCCTGACCGACTAAGGGCTCAAGGGAAGACGGTTCTCATCCCCTCATCCCACACACAGACCCCAGTGCCACTGGACAAAATGCCTGGCTCTGCTAGGCCTGGGGCGTATCCTGGCCTTGGCTGTCTGCACTGGGGCAGCGCTGCTCAGCTTCTAAGCAAAAACCCCTTGTATTTCCAGCCCTGCCTCTGGGCTGGAACCCGCAAGACTGTAGTCACCACCTCTCCTCTGCTCCCGCGGCAGGTACAGAACAAAGTTCACACGCCTCAAAGCCCTGAAGGTGGAGATCGAGCACCTGCAGCTGCTCATGGACAGAGCCAAGGTCAAGCTGCAGAAAGACTTTGAAGCCTGGTGGGCAGCAGAGGCCAGCAGCCTGCAGGTATGGTCTGGGGACACCAGGCAGCTGCGGAGGAGCTGTCAGGAGACAGGGGAGGGCAGGGGCTCACCTGAGTAACAGGGACACGGGCTCGGGGGTTCAGGGGCCTCCAATAACCACTTGAGTGAGGGAAAGAAGGGGACGGAAGAGGCAGCTCCCCAAACCTAGGGCTGAGGCACCTTCGCTGTGTGCGACAGTCTCCAGGGACAGCATACTGCCGTTTACTGTGTTCCCTGTCACAGTCTTGGATACAAGCACCTAATTAGGGAAACTCTAGAAAACACAAAGAAAAAAGTAAAAATCATGTTGAACCCTCCACTCAGTCTCAGGTTCAGCTGTCCTCGGGTAACTCCTCAGTTGTGGTGAGACAGAAGTGACAAAGGACACACACATGTCGTGTCACCTGTGGGGCTGCCAGGTCCCTTTGAGATCGCCTCTCAGGCTGATCACTTCATTTTAAGGACAAGGAAACTGAGAGCCAGAGAAGATATTCACCCAAGGAAACACAATAACCCCAAAATCACCAGTACCTCACCAAGTGGCCATGTGACAGGGCTGTAGAGAAAACTGGATCAAATTAAATGCACAGGATAACCGAAAAGATGTTGAAGCACAGGTATCAAAATGGTTTAAAAGCTAGGTTACAATATAATACTTTGTGTTCCATTTTGTAAGTATATTAACTAATGAGATCTAGGCATCATATTATCAATAATAGTTTCAATTTTGCCATAATTTCAAAGTCACGATGAACACACTATTTCAAGATTTCTGCACCAACAGTGATAACATGAGAATCTATGTGACTTCTTCTGGGGACAAAGTCACAGGTACTGCTAACACGGCTGTGGTTTGTTGTCTTCATTTATTAATTTCAAGTAGAAGTCAGGGTGGATAGAGATACAAAGGTTCCCGTCCACATCTGCACTACTGGTTTCCGTCTGTGGGCTTCGAGTCACCAGTGAGTGAGGCTTGCAGCCAAAGCTGGTCCCCAAGAGTGGCTCGGGAAGTGTCCGTGAGGCTGACATATCCACGAGGGTTATAGTAGAATCGTAGCCAAGCATCCCTATCCCTGGATGTCACTGAAACAAAAGGGGTCAGATGATGGTGACAGGGGTGGCTTCCGGAAGAGCTGATTGTGTGCAGTGCTGCCCAGCAGTTTCTCAGCGTGTGCTACCGGTGGGCCAGACGGGAAGCCTCCAAGCTCATCAGGACACAGCACTCCGTGCCAGCTCCCTGGAAGGCCAGGGAGCAGGTGGGAATCACCTCGTAGCTTCCAGTGCTGGGTGTTCCTTGAGGGTCACATGGCATCCTGCTGAAACACAGCCCGGAAGCGACTGGAGACTCTCAGGTTTCCCAGCACCCTGAGGCAGAGCTGTGCCCCTTGTGAGGTGCTCAGTGTCACCAGGAGAAGATCTGTGGGAAAGGAGACAGGAAACCAGAAGGTTTTGCAGAGAACTATCAGATGGCGTCACTCATCTTTCTGTGTACCAAAAGTAATACCTGCTTGATTCAGCAAACAAAGAACAGAAAAGCACAGAGAATAAACCAAGCATTCCCCATAATATACCATCTAAAGATAATATTTTGATGCCTGACATTAGAATCATAACTGTGTCTGGATTTCTGGTTTGCCATATACATTGTACATGCCAGCTTTTATAACTGGCTTTCCCCCTTACCAGTCACACCAAGAACGTCTTCCTGTGTCATCAGATTCAAGCTAACTCTCTTCCCTGGCCCAGCAGGTGCATTCTCCAGCGGCAAATCCACTGGGTCCAGTGAAGCCTTTTCCCCAGACCTCTGAGTCCCAGCAGGACCGGTCCCAGCTTCCGTCTAACAGAAGGTAAGGAGAGAAGTCGCCAGCAGAGTTTGGGGACACAGAGAATGCTCCTTTCCTCTGTCCTTACCCCTTTCTTGCTGCTCTGTCTCCCCAGAGCCTCCCTGTTCTTAGAGGAATCACTGCTGTTGCTATTAATTGGTCTCATACTCAGGCAGGTAGCTTGCAAGCTCACATAGGGCATGGCCTTCAGTCCCTGCTCTGACAGCCATGAGACCCCCACTGTTATGGCTGTGTCTAGACGTCCCCCAAAAGCCTCATGCTGCCATAGGTGAGGCTTTTTTGAGCCCTGAGGCTGGGTAGCCTGGATACAATATAAGGGACAGAAAGGCTTGCTGACAGTTACTTGTAGTTGGTTGCTTGCTTGCTTTTGCTGTCTTCTACCCTGCCGTGGACTGTTTCTCCTCTGCCTTGGAGTCAGCTGATTATGGACTGAAGCTTCTACTAACTGTGGGCCAAATAAACCTTCCTTCCTTTAACTTTGGGTGGCAGGTATTTTGTCTTAGCAAGGAGAAAAAGTAATTAAGACACCCACCATGGTGGCAAGAGGCTCTGGTCCTGCCCAGCAGGAGCATGACTGGCAGGAAGAGTAAGAGAGCACAGCAGGGGTGAGGCAGGGACCAGGGAGAGGGGTCTGGAGATGGTGCAGAGGAGCCCAGATGTAGATGCTTTGTCCTGGTGAGGATGCAGGAGAGGCCTGGACAGCCTCCCACTCTGCCCTGTGAAGGCAGCCCAGCGCCCACTTCCCTCAGTGATGAGGTGTCCACTTCCCACACCTCGGACTGAGGGCTATGTGGCTCCCATCTCCGTCTGCCTCTGAGCAGCGAGCCAGCCCTGGGCTTGGAAGGCTGCCGAGGTCCCAGCCAGAAGTGTGCAGTGGGGCTTTGAAAGCACAGAGGCACTGGCAGTGTCCACGCTGTGACATGAGAGACAGGCACTGTGCACTGGACACCCTGGGCTCCCGCTCAAAACCCATCCCTGGGCAAGGCAGGAAGAAAACATCACATGAGTCCCAGCCCGACATCTGCCAGACACCCAGCCCCTTCTCCCCAAACTGACAGGGGCACAAGAATCAAGGCGTCGGAAGCGTCACAGCCAGGGGGAGTGACAGCCAAGTCGTGTGGCACCCTGAGTGCAAACAGAAACAGAAACTGAGAGTAAAAACTGAGAAGAGGCCAATGAAGACTGGGCCTCAACAATCTCGCAGCGACGCCATTGAGCTAGTGCAAAAGCGTGTGTCAGGGACAACTAGGTATGTGTGAACCGTCCGTGCTGTTTCTTGCAACTCTTCTGCAACCTAAAAACCTACCAAAAAAGGCTTGTCTAAAATATGAAAAGGCCTGCCGCAGAGGCCCTCATGCCAGGCGACAGTTCCCACATTGCCAGCTTGATCTCCAGGTTCAGGAAACAGCCTGTGTGTTCCCCTCAGCCCAGGAGCAAGAACTGGCCAACACTTTGGGGGGGGGGGGCTAGCAGGGTGTTTTAAACAGCAGTGTCATAGGGGAAAGTACTGATCAGTTGGACTTCATTTAAATTTTAAATGCTGCTTTATAAAATACTGGTGAGAAAACAAAAAGACAGACTGAGCATGGTAGCACACGCCTGTAAGCCCAGCACTCTGGAAGGCCAAGGCAGGGCAAATGAGGGTCAAACCCAGCCTGGGCAATTTAGCGACTTAGTGAGAACCTGTCTCAAAATTTTAAAAGGACTGGGGATGTATATAGCTCAGTGCAAAGGGACTGGGTTCAATCTCCAATACCAGGAGAAAGAGACAAGAGGAAGGAAGAAAAGGAGGAAGGGAAGGAATGAAAAGCCAAGCTGCAGATTGGGAGAAAATATTTGCAGAACACACATCTAAAAAGGACTGTATCCAAAACACAAAGGATAATAAAGTTCAACAATAAGAAAATAACTGAATTTTTAAAAAATAAGTGAAAGATCTGAATAGCCACTTCGCCAAGGTGACACAGATGGCAAACAACTGTAGGACAAGATGCTCAACATCCTATGTCACTGGGGAATTGCTGATTAAAAGAACAAGATGCCACTGTATCGGGTGAGAACAACTGAAGTCCAGATCACTGACCACACCAAGTGCCAGTGAGGAGGTGCAGCAACAGGACCCTAATTATTGCCAGTGGAGATGAAAATGATATGGCCATGTTACAAGATGGTGGATCAGATTCTTACAAAGCTAAATACAGTCTCACTTCACGGCAGGCCAATCCAGCCCCTAGGTATTTATGCAAATAGGTTGAAAACTGACAGTCACACAAAAACCTAAACATGACTATTTATAGCAGCTTCATTAATAATTGCCCAAAACAAGAATCTACCAAGATGTCCTCCAAAAGGTAAATGGATAAATGACTGACTGTGGTATATCCATACAATGGAATATTACTTAGCAATGAAAAATGAGCTTCTGAGCCATGAAAAGATGTTAAGAAACCTTAAAAGCACACTACTTAGTGAAAGAAGCCTTTTTGAAATGGCTGCATACTACCTGATTCCAACCATGTGACCTTTCTGAAAAGGTGAAACTATGGCCTCAGTAAAAATATCAGTGGTTAGCACAGACTTATGGGGAGGGAAGAATGAACCCCAGGGACATTGAAATATTCTTTTTTTTGGTACCGGGGATGGAACTCAGGACCTTGCACTTACAAGGCAGGCAGCGGCACCACTGAGCTAAATCCCCAGCCCTTGAGACAAGTTCTAAGTCACTAAGTTGCCCAGACTGGGCTTGAATTTACTGGGCTCAAATTTGCTGTCCTCCTGCTTCAGCTCCTAGAATGCTGAGATCCCAGGCGTGCACCATCACCCCCAGCTAGTGACACTATGCTATTCAGATATTGTGCTGGTGGACAGATGGTATTATGCACTGTCCCGATCCATACGTCCCCGCAGCACCAGCAGTGAAGTCCTACATAAACAATGGACTTTAGTTCCCTATAATGTGTCAGTATTGGTTGTTGACTTTATCACTTAACGTCAGTGATGCCAGGTGTTACTCATAGGGGAAACAGGGAAGGGAGGAGGGCCTTTGAGAGCTCTGTATCTGCTCAGTTTCCTGTAAACTTAAAAGTAACCTACTAATTAAAAGCTAGGAAGGCGGTGTAACTAGGCAGCCTCGCACTCCATGGTAACAGGGGCATCCAGCCCGTGTCCTGCACCTGGCGAGGTCCCCTGTGCACCTGCCACCTCTGCAGATGCTGGAGTTGGATTTGCTACCTTGTCCCACACCCAGCCCTGCCCTGAGAGCCCCGGATGCACAGAGCGCATGGCCCAGCCCAGGCAAGAGGACGGAGCTGCCCCAGCCATTGCCACCAGCGCCGGAGAACAAGTGCCTGTCCACCCAGGGACTCTGAGCCCCATGCTCTTCCCAGCCTCATCTCTTGCACAGCTTCTGCCACTGGAAAGATCCTGCTCCACAAATAGGAAGGCCGAGCTCTGCTTTCGCTGAGAAGCGGGGTGGCCTGGGGTGTCAGGGACATCCCCATGAACATACTGCTAGACACGAGGCTCCAAGGGGGAATTTCCATAGGCTGCACTTGCCAGGAAACCCTTCAACTGGATTCAGATCCTGCGCCCAGAGCTCCTCCCCAGCCCCTTTTTGGTGGCTGAAGTGCTGTCCTGGAGGCACTGGGCCTGGGCGGAGATAACAGAGTGTCCTGAACCATGCTTTAGACACCCCAGCCGAGGGTGGTGAGCTCCCCAGCCCCTCCCCCCCATAGTTCGAATGCCAGGATTTGTGAGTGGGGAGGGTCCACTAGACAGCAGAGAGAAGCTCCCTGCTGGGGACTGGACAGGGAGCGGGCCGGGGGCTTTAGAACGGAGGCCATAGGAGCCCTCAAAGCCCCACCTGAGGAGGCAAGAGGAAGACAGGAAGGGAGTCTGTCACAGGCACCGCGGCATCTCAGCTCTGTGACAACCCACAGTGGCGGGCCAGCTGCTGCCGCTTCTCCATCCGCCAAGGCCACAGTCCTGGCTTCTCTTGCAGTCACAACATCCCTTGCCACTCACGGAGGGCCCTGGTGGGCTGTGAGCCACTGTGCAGTGCAAGTGCTGTCACTGTCCCCATCCCGTAGATGAGAAAACTCCAGTGCAGAAAGCTCAAGTAACTTGCTCAGGGTCTCCTACTACTTGGTGGTGAGACCAGGATTTGAACCCAGGCCTGTCAGAGGCTGGACCCTGCCCTCACTTCTGGTATCAGTGTGTTCAGCGTTAGCAGCTGCCCTCTGGGGACATGGGTGCAGGAGGCTCAGTAGGAGCTGGCGTCTCCCGGCCCATCTGCTAGGACACTTCACACGGATGTGCGGCCCTCACAGCCTGGGCCCCTGCTTGCTCCCCACGTCCACACAGCCTGTCTGCCCCCAGGGGCAGGGTCATCACAGAGCCCACGGAGCCCCTCAGGGCAACCCTCTGAGGCCTGGATAGCTGGACTCCCAGCAGTGGCTCTCACCGCTGCAACGGACAAATGCTGAGCTCAACCCCCTCGAGTAAGGAAACCGAGGCCAGAAAAGGAATGAGATTTTTTAACTCTAAACTAATAACCAAGAGCTCACATTTAAACCGGACCTCAAGCTCCACAGCTAACGGCTCCTCCTCTCGCTGCCTCTCGGCCTCCCTCCTCTCAGCCCTTCTCTCTCCCCCGCCTTCGCCTTGTCTCCCCTGCTCCCCTGCCCACCTCTGTCCCCTTATCCCCTCACCTTGTGGCCCCATCCAGCCTTCCCTGTGAGCCAGGGCAGCCGTGTGCCGACTTGGTCCTGCAGCCTTGCGGTGCATTCCCAGCTGACCTAGACCTTCGCAGCTGTACCTGAGGCAGGACAGGAGAGGAGGGAAACCCTCTCTCCTCTCTCCAGACCTGCACCAGGAACCACCAGGAAGCCTGAGACTTGGTCCCTGTTCTCCAAAGAAAAGCGGGCAGAACCTGCCACCTTGTGGCGGGCTCCGGTCCTTCGGCAGCCTGTGCAGACCCAGTACAGAGAAGGGGCCTCCCTCTCCAAGGGTGAGGAGACAGTGCCCCGCTGCTAGGAGATGATTTCCTCTCCTGTTTATTTGACCCACAGCCCTGAGCCCAGAGTCTGGCCGAGATGGGAGAGGGCAGAAGGCTGGACCTGGGCCAGGAGCTGTGTGTTGTTTTGTTTTGTTTTGTTTTTCCGGTACCGGGGATCGAACTCAGGACCTTGCACTTGCCAGGCAGGCAGGAGCGGTTCTTACATGGGGACAGAATGTTGTCGCCTGTGGAGCAGACTTGGCAAAGCCAGCTCAGCGGAGCCCCCTCTCAGCCTGGCCTGAGTGTCCCCAGCTGTGAAAGGACGTCTTGCAGGCGGTCCCCTAGGCCTCTTCCGGCTCTGACCGTGTCCTGAGCGGTGCCCAAGCACCTTGGCCTAGGGCACAGACCCCGGAGCCTCACGGCTGTCACAGGCATCAGCTGCACCGCTGAGCAGATTCTCTCCACACCTCCGGCTCCCCTCGGGCCCGGGGACGACGACATCCCCTTCCTACCACGGAGAGGACTGGTGCTCGGCGCTGGCACGTGGACAGTGACCGTGGAAGACAGCTGTGACCACTGTCGTTTGTTTCTCAACTTCTGCAGCCAGCACTTAGCTCCACAGCAGAGGTCGTGTAAACGGCCCGAGGGGGATGCTGGGCCCCTAGCTCTGCCTGCCCGCTGCTGTCACTGAACGCCAGAGACCCGGCAGCTCGTTGGTTTTCAGCAAACGTTTCTTTGCCACAGTCCTTGAGGCTGGAAGTCCAAGATCAGGGTGCTGGCAGATCCGCAGTCTGTGAAGGCCCTTGTTTTCTCCCGCATCCTCACCTGGCGGGAGAGGCAGGGAGCTCTCTGCCTTCGTAGGACCACTAGTCCCCTCCCGCAGGCTTTGTCCTCGTGGCCTAATCACCCCTGGAAGTCCTCCTCACACCGTCACCTTGGGGGCCTACAGCACAGCCGACTCAGTTCCTCGTGACACTCCCTGCCTGGGTTTGGACACCTCCTTCCTGCTGTGTCCGGACAGACAGACAACAGACAGACCTAGCGCTCTGGTTCTCTTCCTCTTCTTAGAAGGACGCTAATAACATCACGAGAGCCCCGCCTCTAACTACTGTTACACTGGGGCTTAGGACTGCAACATGTGAGTTTATGAAGCCTGAGTCTCTCTTCTCCAAACCTCCTCAGCCTGGTGCTCATCTCTGTCTTTGCAGGGACCTGACCGGCAGGAACACCCCGCCCACACCGTGCCCCAGCCCAGTCGGCCGGGAACAGTGCAGCCCCAGCACCCGGCCGGAGGTCAGGTCTGTGTCTTCCCCGCCCTCTCCAGGCTGTGTCAGCCCCTGCCTCACAGAGGGGGCCTGGAGTCACCCAGCTGCTGCCCCCAGGACCCGAGGTGTCCGGTCCAGTCACCACATAGGCAGCCCAAGGCCAGCCTTGCCCTGATCCGTGGGAACCCTGGAATCTCACAGTCCCACCTGCCGACCACACACCTGGGCATCTTCTCCTGGGCCCTGGGGCCTTGGGCTTGCATAGTTACCCCAATGGTCCCACGGGCCACCAGCCCCTCTGCAGATGCCCCAGAGCCTGAACCCACCTGCTTCAGACTGAGCAGAGTTGCTCAGGCCTCTTGCCAGGGTGTTCTTTGTGCCCTCAGGCTGGAATCACCCACTCGCCTGCTCACCCTCAGACTCCCCTTCTAGAGCTGCTCACACCCAGCCCAGGAGTGCACGGTGCTGAGCTGCCCACACCAAAAGACTTGTGAGGGCTGAAGGCACAGCCTCTGCCCAGAGCAGCACCAGAAAGGAGGGAGGGAGGGGGAATTGCTTGTGCTTCAAAGGAGGAGCAGGCCGTCGCCACTGCCTGCTGTGTGGGCCACAGGAGTGAGGCTGGAGGACTGGCAAAGCCAGGGAGCACCCTGCTCTGAGCTGTCTTTTGGGGGCAGGCGCGAGGCTACAGAGGCAGCAGAGGGTGCATGCATCCTCCCTCCCGACCGGAACTTCCTGTGAGCCCACGCAACACTTCTGCTAGCGAATCTCATTGGCCACGTGGAGCTGCAAGGGAATCTGGGAGACTTGGGATTTTTAGTTGCAGCAACTTAGCTGAATGTGGTTCTGTTTAGGAGAGATGGGGCAATAGTTATCTCTGCCTTGGGAGCAGCTAGCTCAGCCATGATGGGGGAGGCATACATTTGGGGGAGACATCCTAAAATCACATGTAAGTTGGGGCCAAAAAGAGAAATGGGTAAAATGAGGGTGATTTGGAAAAGACCAGGATTGGTAGGGGAGAGAGTGGTCCAGGGCGAAGGGACAGCTACGGCAAAGGACCTGAGACTTGACATAGTTGAGGAACAGAAAGGTCCGGTTAGAACACACAGGACCTGGGAGGTCAGAGGACAGAGTTTGGGTTTTATTTAAGAGTGATGCAGAGAGTTAAAGTCAGGAGTGCCAGGCCCCAACGTGCATGAGAAAAGGGTTGGTGTGGCTGTGACGGAGATGGGAGGGAGGGGCAAGGAGCCAGCTGTGTAGTGTCGCAAGGCTTCCTGGCTGAGATGGTCACCACCCGGAAATGCACTCTGGAAGCGTGAGCCCGGTCACAAGCTGTAGTAAAGTGTGGCGTGTGCTTGTCCCCAGCATCTCTGAGAGGCCGACGTCGTCCATCCCTCTCACCGGAGACAGCCAGACAGACTCCGACATCCTGGCGTTCATCAGGGCCAGACAGAGCATTCTGCAGAGGAAATGTAAGTGCACCCACCTGCAGCTCCATGAGGCCAGGGCTTCCGCTCTGCTCGCCAGCACTTGAAGGAAGGGAGGGGTCAGACCCACAGCAGGCAGAAGGCAACGGAACTGACTGTGGCCACCTCAAATGGGCCAGGCCTCAGCTTCCCCTGGGGACAGGGTCAGAAGCGCTAAGATGGCCTTGGGTGGCGGCCTGGGTGGTCCTCCTGCGCTTGCCAGAGTGCTGTCCCTCTGCCGGGCCTCCGGCCCTTCGTGTCCTATGTCCCTGAAGGCCTTGTCCAGACAGGAAGGGGCTGCTTGATGGTTGGTGATCTGTTGCCTCCCTGGCTACAGACCCCCTGTTGCCTGGAGTGTGGGCAGAACCACTGGAGGCCCAGCCTGTGAGCCCGTGTCAGTCACAGAGGAGCCGCAGGAAGAGAGGAAGCTCCTTCCCAGCCTTCGTCAATGGCCTGTCCCTTCCTCTTGGCAGCTCTTGGCCGTCTGTGGGCAGCCTCTTCTGCCTTCCGTCCCCCAGTCACCAAAAGGGACAGGCCCAGGCCCCTACCCCAGCCCCGCATTGAGCTCAGCACGGCCTTCCGGGCGAGGAGGTGCCCTTCCTTCCAGTGTGTGTCTTAGTTCACTCCGCATCACTGTAATGAAGCCCCCGAGGCTGAGAACTTAATAAGAAAAGAGGTTTATTAGGTCATAGTTCCCGGGGTGTAAGGGCAGGGTGCCGGCATCAGCCCTGCTCTAGTAAGGACGCGGTGGTGCCTGGGAGGAAGAGGGAGGATCCTGGAGAGAGGTCAGTGGTCTGGGTGGCTCTTACAGCGGCTCGCTCTCATAAGAGCTGGCTCAGGTCCCAGAGGGCAACTCTAGCCGACTCTGAGGCCCAGCTCAGTGGCCTGAAGATGCCCCTCTCGAGCCTCTGCCAGCATGGCCAGGCTGAGCCGAGCCCTGCATATGCGCCCTGCAGGGCAGACGCCACTCTCTGTCTGATCTAGTGGGGCACTTGAGGTAGGAGTGGCTTGCGGATCACATGGCTGAGCCCTGGGGGAGCATCCATGCCCAGACCACAGGAGCAGCTACACCCTCCCTCGTTCACCAGGCCCCTGCCTCTGCTCTCTGACACCTCGACCTCTCCTTGGTTTCCTGGTCTAAAAAGAGAGGAAAGAAAGCTAGATTTGGTGACCTCCAAATCTTCAAATGATCCACATCAGACACTGAACGACAGCGGACAGGCAGTCAGTCAACAAATGCTGGATTTATTGGGCACCTCCTCTATGCCAGGCACCACTATTCATGCTGGGGCTGCAACAGAGAACAAGACAGCCGTGCCTGGATCCTGGCAGCCACATAGGCAGGGCAGGTACAGTGGGAACCTGCTCAGGAGCCAGGACCCAGGCACCAGAGTCTGCCTGGTGCTTTAGGAAGCTCGCCCTGGCTGTCACACATGGTGTAGGTGGCCCTGGAGAGTGCAGGCCAGGGACAGGTGACGGCTAGATGGGGGCCAGGGAGGGCTTGAGGGCCTGGGCGCCCCCCCCAGTCAGCTGAGTGAGAGGTACCACGGAAAATCCAGGGCCAGGTGCCTCCTGGGCTGCAGGTCTGAGTCGCTGAGAGGATGGGGGGCCCTCTCCGGACCTAAGAAAGGCAAGGAGGGGCAGTGTCATGGGGACGGAGGGCTCTGGTGGCCCCTGCCACCCAAGGGGAGGCGTTGAGCAGACGGGATGGGGGACGAGCCCCACACGCAGAGCCAGGATCAAGGGAAAGGGGGGCCGTCAGGTCTTGGGGGACAGGTTCCTGGGGAGCACCGACACACAGCAGTGGAGAGGACACCGAGATGCCGAGAAGGTCCCTCAGGGGACTGCAGGGGCAGCAGGCAAGTGCGTGCGTGCGGCTCAGCGGGTCTGCAGAAGAACTGGCTCCCGGGAGAGTCCATTGTGGTGGGAAGGTGGTCAAGGCAGGCAGGATGGCAACCACTGCCCCTTCTGTGTGTCCTGGTGGTCATGGACCAGCACCGCTGTAGGCAGCAGCCCTGTGTGCTGAGGGCAGTATACAGGGAAACTGGGGCAGGGAGCAGGCAGCTGTCTAGGAGGTCAGCTTCATGCAGGGGCAGAGAGAGGAGCTGGGGCCAAAGGGAAGCAGGGGGCCGGAGAGGCGCTGAGCCACACTGCCTTGGGAAGTGGCAGCGACCAAGGTGCCCCCACTCCGCTGGGGGAGTTTTCCTCTCGGCTCAGGAGAAGGGACCATGATGGGCAGGGCCGGGTGTGGCCTCCACACTCCCTGCAGCTGGGAGCTGTGCTCTCCGGGAAGTAATTCCTCAAAATGCTCCAAAGTCCCAGGACCCCATTTTTGTTTTTGTTTTGTTTTTCTGTTTGTTTGTTTTTTCTGGTTTTTTGAGACAGGGTCTGGCTTTGTAGTTCAGGCTGGGCCTGAACTCACTGTGTAGCCCAGGCCGCCCTCTAACTCAGTAATCCTCCTGCCTCAGCCTCCCGAGTGCAGGGATCACAGGCGTGCCCCACCACACCTAGCGTTCCATTTTTGTTCCTAAAGGAAAAAAAATAATCCAGGTTTCCTAGTGACCATGGCCCCACAAAGGAAGCCACAGATGGGTGATGAGGGGTCCCCCTCTTGTGGGCTGGAGCCCAAGGGCCAGCAGGCTTGGCCTCTCCAGACACAAGGCCACCTCTGAGCACGGTCCCCTTGCCCAGCTGCCCTGAGAGGCAGGCACAGGCTGCAGGCACCACCGTCTCTGCCAAAGCAATCAGCCCTCCCCCCGGGTCGCGCTCAGCTCAGGTCCCTACGTCCCAGAGGGCCAGGATGAGCTGACTTGATTTAGGATTCGGGAAACTCCCAGGACACGTAAATCCCAGCCAGGGGCGCGTGTGGACAGGTCTGTGTCCTGGGCACCGGGCCTTCGTCCTCCTGGGGTTAAACCTGCTGCTTCCGATGGCCATGGTGAGTTCACCTGTGAGGAAATGAGGTTAAGGGCTGTCTGAAGTGCCCTCCAATCCCCTCACGTCTGGTTTAGAAGTATTTCCGCCGGAAGGAGCCTCAGCACCGCCACACACCCTGCAAGTCCCCTCGTCAGAGAGGTGGCAGCAGGAGCCCCACGGAGCTTCCCAGCCTCTGCGGAACCCCCTCAGGACGGGAGGGAGGGGGCGCCACTGAGTGTCCTTGGCCAGGTAGCCACCGTGGGCCTCCCTCGAGGTGTCCGTGGGGGGCGGAGTCAGCCCTTGCCCATAGGGGAGCCCCGCATCCGGGGATGATGCCGTCAGAGTCTCACTGGTGGCAAGGCCCAGGGAGCTGCTGGCCAGGAAGGTGACCGCTGCACCAGGACCTGTGACTGTTAATGCCAGTGTCAGCTAGCCTTGCCCCAGGCTGCTTGTCACCAATGCAGGGGGACGTCAGACCTCAGGGTGATGGGCAGCCACACGGCCAGGGTTCCCCAGTCCTGTCCCTAGTGGTCTCTCAGTCACACCATGGGTTGGGACTGTCCTGGCTGGAATTCAAGGACCGTGGTTCTCGGTCCAGAGCCCAGCACAGGAAAGCACAGCATGGGGTCCCGAGGCACCACCCAGAGGTGTCAGCTCTAGAGAGAGCTGGGCTGGAACGAGTGGATCCCCGCCCAGAGAGAGCAAACTTGCAAAGGACGAAGGAGGCAGAGCCTGGGGGTACATGTGGCCCTGGGGGCGGGACACACCAGAGGACAGAGGATGTGGCCAGCAGCCACCTCCTTCCCTTCGTCCCGGGTAGTCAGTGCCCTCAGGCACAGCCTAACCAGCAGCACTGTCTCCTTTCAGGCCTGGGGAGCAACTGACTTTCCAATGAGAGGTGAGAGTCTAGCCACCGTGCTGCCGTGGAGAGCAAAGGCCCTGCCCCTCACTTGGGACTTTGGAAGTGACCTGGGAGCGCTGGGAGCAGCTGGTGAATTTGAATCTGGGGGAGCAGCCTCCTGCCAATGGAGTGGTCCGTCCTTCCTGTGGCTGCGGGAGCTGCTGGCCAGGCCAGGTGGTGCCAGGAGCTGGGGCGGGAGGAGCTTCAGCTCACTGTTTCGGTGCTGTTCCGTGTACATAGCGAGCAGCCTCAGAATGCAGTGCGGGCTAACGATTGGGGTCTTCACCATTTACCTGCCCCTGCCCGCCACCCCCTGGTGGAGGAGCCCAAGAGGCACTGTGCCAGGTAGGGCAGGACTTCAGAGCCCTGCCAGGCGGCCACAAGGGGCATTGTGAGGGCCTCGCCCGATCTCCCAGCCCAACCTCCACGGTCACCCTCTGCCTGGATGACCTGCAGCAGCTCTGAGCCAGCTGTGTCCCCGAAGCCAGGCACCCTGTGGACACCGCAGCAGCAGAGGACAGCGGGCAGCTCCCGAGAGCTGTGCAGAGAGGGTAGGGTGGCACCTCAGGCCTCAACTTCTCCCCAACCACTCAGGGCTCTGCCTGGCAGCAGCCCAGCACCTGCCCACAGGGAAACAGAGCCGCAGGCACTGGCTCGGCAACTTGGGGACTCGGGTCCCGAGGGTGGGCACTAGGCCTCCAGGAGGCTTTGGACAGCTGCTGCAGGCATGGGGTCCCCTGGGAGCAGTTGGGGTGGGTCGTGGAGGGTGGAGAAGGGTGGCCCTGAATATGAGGGCAGCTGAATAAAGGCACTTGTGCAGTGGTCCCCGTGTCTGCCCTGTATCACAGGACCTGGGGCCCCCAGAGGCAGAGTGAGTAGCATGGTACAGTTTGGTTTTTTCCTATTTAGGACTAGGTAAAAGGATCATGCAGGAGAAGATGAAATCTTACCGTCTCAAAGCTAGGCAGGCCCAGCGAGCTCCTCTAATCCACAGCCCAGCACCCCAGTTTATATGACAGGCGAGCTGGAGCAGAGGGGACACCTGGTTGCTGTTTCTAGCTGGACAGTGGCTGATGTCCCCTCCCCAGGGGCTGCTCCCGACAACCCAGCTGGAGTAGCCCCAGCCACTCTGTCCATGTTCCTTTTTTCTTCATCTCTACCTGGCATCTCTTTCTCTTCCTCCTGTCTTTATAATGCAGCCACCTCCATAGGACTGAAAGCGCATGACAACAGCAATTGCTTGTCTTGGTCACAGCCATGTCCCCAGCATAGAGCCCCTCAATTCAGGAGCAGCAGAGCCAGGCCCAGATGTGCTTCTAGGCCAGGGTCACTCCCTGGATTCCCTCGCACAGGGATTGTGACCTGTGTGTGTGTGGGAGGGGGGGAATCCGGCCCCTCACAGTTCTGTGGCACACAGTAGGTCCTCAGGAAGGTGTGTAAACCAAGAAGACCAGTCAGACCCCCGACACCCTGACTCTGGAGGCTCCCCAGATGCACACACATGTGTTCACATGCACACAAACTGAGGGGCCCTGCCCCTCACAGCTCTGTGCACACAGTAGGTCCTCAGGAGAGTATATGGACAGGGAGACCAGTCAGACCCCAAAAGCCAGATTCTGGAGGCTCCCCAAATATGCATATGTGTGTGCACACTTGCACACACACTCAGGGGTGCAGAATGTGCCAGAGCCCCTTGTGAAATGGCACCTGTGTTCCTGGGATGCCCTGGTGCCCTCGGCCCTCTGGAGCCAGCTGCTCCGGTGACCTTGGATCTCCCCGAGACGTTAGCTGCTGGATCGGGGTCCAATCCACAGAGACGTGTGGTGTGGCCCCATGCAGTGCAGAGCCAGCCTCCTGGACCAGTGACTGAGGAGGGAGAGGAAGTGGAGATCAGGAAAGGGGGACAGCATCCCACTGGGGTCGGGCACTGCCCACGGCAGTCACCTCCTCACCAAGCTCCCTGACTGCTGCCTTTCCTTCCTGTTCCTCTCCCTCCACCCCTGCAGGGTGTCCTGGGGGCTCTTCCTGGCTAAAGGCGCCTGCTGTGTCCAGATCTGTTCTATGGATTCGGACGTAGCAAAGGCGTGTGTTTCACAAGCAGTGTGGAGCTCTCAAAATCAGGCTCCAAGGCTGGGGAGAATGGGAACAAACGGCCCCCATTCAGCCAGAACCCCCTTAACTGTGCTGCAGATCGGAGCTCAGGGAAAGGGCTCCCGTGAGGGAGGAATCCTGCTCCTTCCCAGCACACGCACGCACAAACCTGCACGCACATGCACACTCACGCTCCCCTCTCCCGGAGCCCGCCCGGAGCCCGTGTCCTCACCGCTCTCACAGCAGGTTGGGCCTCTCTCAGCTCTCTGGTCCCGAGGGTGGTAAAGACCCGTACAAGTGCACCGCCCCACTGCACCCCGACACCCCGCCGTCACTGGGGAGCCCTGCCCAGGACTCGCTGCTTCAGCCCCTGGGCTGTGACCAGGCGGCTGTGTGTGGACGGCAGGGTCTGCAGCTGAGCTCCTTCTGCTGCCTGTCCTTCCCCTGACGAAGCGGACCGGGCCGGCGGCCTTATTTACCCTCTCCGTCCCAGTGGGAAGGTCCCTCCCTCCGTGCAACCCTGTGTACTGAGTGGGCCTCGAGCGGAGGCCTAGCCCGTCCTCCCCGTCTCCGGCCCCTCCAGATGGATGAGGTCCGGCCGCACTCTGTTTACTCTGTGTTCTCTGCCCATCGTGCGTGACATTGATCTCAGGTTTTGTTTTTCTTCTTCTTCCTCCCATCTCCCTATTAGTTCAGCCTCAGAAAGCCCCTTATCACCTCCGGATGTCAGGCCATTGGGCCTCCCTGGCCAAATAGATTCCCCATTAATTGATTTTGCCCTCCCTCCCCCAGGGAAGCACAAGTGGGCTCTGCCCATTAGCAGCAGTAATTCCTAGAAGGGACCATAAATCACACTGTGTCCCCGAGGGGTGACGTGGGGGGGGGGGGCTCGCATCCCTCAGGGTCCACACCAGCCAGAGGGGCCAGGTCCCAGCACACGGGGACACTCAGTGGGCTGACATCTCCCCGACCCCATACCGCGTGGCCGTTTCTCTGGTTGTTGGGGCCGCAGGGTCCCCCCGACACCGGACGTGCTCCTGAGAAAGATGCTCTCCTGCACCCCAGCCAGGTTCAGCCTTGCTGGGCTCTGGGGGCTTGGAGAAGCCTGAGGGTGAGGGACAGGGCAGAGGAGAGCGCGGGAGCACCAGGCCGGGAGAAGGAGCCGCCAGGAAGGGCAGGAGGCCTGCACGCTGACTGCCCGGCGGCGCACGGTTTCTGCACAGCTGGTGCCAGCACACGGTGGGGCCTCAGTACATCGTCTGTACCTGAGTGGAGAGCTCTGCCCACACGAACCCGGAGCTGCTTCCGTCAGGACTGGAAGGAGGCGGGAGGGAGGGCACCGAGGGGCCGCTTCGGCCCTTTCTCTCCCCAGCCCGCCACCGGCGCCCCTCTGCTCCGGCCCACACCCCATTCTCCCTTCATCTCCTCCACCTTGGGACGGCCCTCATCAGCTTGGATGGGTCCAGCCCCTGGAGGACGCTCGGTGCTGGAGAGGCTACCTGGGGCCGCTGCAGTCCTCGGCACCGGTGGCTGGACTTTGTCCGTGACCCGGAGGACTCTGGCCCTTGCGCTTCTCCAGGGCAGTCAAGGGGTCGATGGCCACACGGCCTTCAGGAGACCCCAGCCCTGCCCACTCCCACCTGGAGGCAGTGGGACTGGGGGGGTGGTGGCAGCGCTCTGCTGGGCCCGTCTCTGCAGGACTCAAGGGAAGACTGAGGAGGGTGAGCTGCCTGGCCCAAGTGCTTTCTCATCCACCAGGATGAGCCCTGTCCCTGCACAGCCCTGTCCCTCCAGCGCCTGAGCCTGGGCTTGTCCAGGACACCGCACAGCCCTGCAGGACTCCACAGAAGACAGCCTGGCCCGACAGGCACCCGGGAGAGGGCCATGGCCAGACCCCAGCGGATGGGCGGCTTCCTCCTCGGCTCAGGGATGCTCCGGCCACGATGCTGCTGGGGTGGGTGGTTCCCAAGCCCTGGCTGCTCAGAGCTTCCTACAGCAGCTTCTCCACTGTGTGAGGGCTGCGGCTGTTCCTGTCCCTTCGCTCAAACCAGCCCCGAGGGGATTAAAACCTCGGTGACCACTGGGAAGGGACAGAACACCCGACAGCGACAGCGGCCTAACACGCAGCTCGGGTTTAACACAGGAGGAATCTCGAGGCAGCGAGTGCAGGAGTCAGCTGGGGTCTCAGCCTCGCCCTGCTCTCGTGGGCGTCTCCCTGGTGGACGCAAGGGGCCTGGCCAGTGCAGCCTGCACAGGGGCGGGAAAGCGAGGCCGGCAGCAGCTGTGTCCAAAGCCCCACGGCAGACCCTGCCATGCAGGCCGGAGCTGGGCCTGGCCACCCCAGCTGCAGGGGAGCTCGGCATGGGAGCCGGGACACTGCCAGCCCTCAGATCCCCTTCCCGGGCCCAGTGGGCGCCTGCTCTTCCTCGGTGGCCTCTCTGCAGCCTGCTACAGCCATCCTGCCTGCAGCATTCAGAGCACAGCTGTCGCTGGCCAAGGGCTGCGGGAGCGGGGAGCCCCTGCCCTCCCCGCCGGGGACTAACAGGGCTTCACTTCTCTCACGGAGCTGCCCAGGCTCCGGGCTGAGGCCAGGACGGTGCCTTCTTTGTCTCCTCGCCTGCCGGGCTGGCATCCCCTTCAGTCCCTGCTGACTACACGGCCTGCACACAAATCTCCCTCTCGGGGTGCTGCGGGGAGCCCAGCCTGAGATGGAGGGGAGCGAGGAAGGCACAGGGGGCCGGGTGGGTCGCGCTCCATCGCCCAGGGCGGACTTGTATGACACCGGTGTGACAGCCAGGACGGGGAGGATATTCCCTGGGCGACCTGCAGCGTCGGCCTCTGCAGCTCATTAAAGGAAACAGAAGACTCGGCCGAGAAGCACAGCCTTCACATTTGGCACCCACGGGAGTGCGAAGCCGCACAGCCACTTGGGGACATGGCAGGTCCCCAACAGCTCCACGCAGAGGGACTGGAGGGCCCAGGTAGGAAGGGGAAACAGGTGTCCATGCAAGAACCTCCCCACAGATGTCAGAGCAGCGTTATTCATGACAACAGAAAGTGGAAACCACACAATCTGCCAACTGGCTATCACACGGGTACAGCAGGTGGGGCACATCATCCTGTGAAATATTACTCTGCTATGAAGAGGAATGCAGTGCTCATGCAGGTACACGTGGATGGACCCTGAAAACATGCAAGCAAAAGAAGCCAGGCACCAAGGGCCACGTGCTTCGTGCTGCCTCTTACAGGAAATGTCCAAGGTGGGGAAATCCATGGAGCTAGAAGGCAGATTAGCGGCTGCCCCAGGCTGTGGGGGTCTGGGTTAGGCCACAGGGTAGCAGCCAGCAGGGGGAGCTTGTCGTAGAGATGATGAGCACTGACCGTGGCGATGGCTGCACAACTCTGCAACTATGCTCCAGACCTGAATTGTACACTTCAGGTGTGTGGATGGCAGTTGGTGAATTCTCTCTGTACACCTCTCACACACCCAGGAGCGGAGGAGGGAGAGGCAGAAGCAGCATCAGTTCACCCCTCTGAGCCCAGGACAGGACACACTATTACAACTGTGGCTGGAGGCACATTCATTGAGGGCCAGGTAAGGACAAGGAGAACTGACTACACCCAAATACTCCCCTAGGGAGGAACAGCAGTGATTGATATTCTAAATAGGCATCAATCACCTTGGATGGAGGACCAAAACCTCCCTAGCCAATTCCTTCCAGGAAAATCCTGGTTCACTCCATGTACACTTGCTGTGTGATTTGCTTCCCCATTTAATCCCCGTTTAATCAATATTACCTAAGCAACTATGCTTGTAATCTTATTAATTGACCATAGTTTTGTTCCACCTCATACCCACCTTATGATTTTCCATTGAATCAGTATTGCCTAAGCAGCTACACTTTAAT